GGGAGCTGGAACGACTCGTGCTCGTTACTGATTTTTCAAACGAGCCGGCGCAGTCCCTGTTGATGAATCTGGCCTTAGGAGTCTTTGCTTAAAGACGGCTCTGGAAAGTGGTGCCTTTGGGTTTTACAGAGAGTAGAGCCCAGTTCTCCCCTTTCTTGGGCTGGTTTCCTGGAGCCGGCAGCGTCCCAGGGCTGTGGTGGCCCTGAGACATATCCCCATCCCTCCTCGCAGGCTGAGGGACCAGCTCCATCGCTCACAAGACACATCCTCCCACCCCAATGGGCCCATGTCCCACCATCCTGAGGCAGCTCCACCCATGGGGGACAGCTGTAGAAGGGCTCCCATCCCCAGCAAGGGTGTTGGGGGACGGGGGGAAACACGGCTTCCTCCATCCCCCACCCAGTCCCCGAGTACCCACTGTGGCCGACCCTGTCCCAGAGGAGAATGCAAAACAGGCACCTAAAGCGTGGGTTGAAGGTTAAGATTAATTTAATGTACACTCAGACATTTATGAAGGTGGAGGTTGTGCTCGCCCTGCCAAACCCTCCTCTGCAGAGAAAGCCAAAGGTCCCACCTTAGCTGTGACCCCTTGAGATGTGCTGGTGCTCCAGACCCAGAGGTCGGGCAGCACCCAGCTGCACCCATACTGGTGTCACCACTTTCAGGTTAAACACTCGGTGCACGGTCCTGCGCTGTTGCACTGCTCGTCGGTCCCTTAAAGGGCATCACCAACAGCAAGCGATGGCCAAGGACCCTCCAAGTCCATGGGGGCCCTGGGAAAGGCTCAGATTGGGTCTCCCTGCAGATCTCAGGGCTGGGGAGAGGAGAGTTTCCAAGCAGGTAACCATTAATTTCTCAATTTTGATTGCTGAGGTTCTCAAACCACCGCTGTAACAGATTTCATCTCTGTTTTGCTCAGATCTGGAGAACGTGACCTCTGATTAAAGCACAGGAGAAAAGGTGAGGGAGGGAAACTGAGGCACGAGGGCTGCTGTCCTGAAGCGTTGGTGGGAAGCAGGCAGGTGTGGATGAGACCGGGTGGGTGCTGGTGTAAGCGTCACTGGTTGTAATGGTTCCCTTGAACAACGACATCTTTCTGCATTCAGCTGATTTGGGAGCCTCAGCCAGGCACTGGGCTGCGATGGGGGGTGATGAGGCAAGGAAAGATGTCAACCGCAGAGCATCCTTAAGCCAGAGTGAGGAGGAGGAGGAGTCCCACGGCCACCAGCACACTGGTGGTGGTGCGGGATGCAGCAGCGGAGGACTCACCTGGAGGCAGAGGAAGACCTGCGGTGGGGGGGGGTTGGGCTGGGGGCTGCCCAGCTCCAGCAGAAGGCCCCCCCTGATTCCCTCCCCAGGTGGGCTCCTGCCACCTACCAGCCCACGGGGGGAAAAAGGGACCCACCACACCTGACCCACGGGCCACCTCCAGCTTTGCAGGGACCCACTGTCCTCAGGGTCGCTACCACTGGGGACGCTCCAAAGCCAAGGCCACCTCGCAGCCCCATCCCACCCGAGTTTCGCCATCTCATGCGTGCACCCCAGGCGGTACCTGTCCAGGAGCAGGGGTGCCTGTAGGTCAGCAAGGTGCTGTTGGAGGAGACAGGGTTACTGACTTTGCAGATGTAGGTTTCTATCGAGGGGTTGAAGGAGACGCGCTGCTCAGAGTCACCTACATGTGCCAGCAGGATCTTGCTGGGGTTGATCCACTCGTAGGTCACCCCTTCGAGCTCCACCGAGCACTCCAGGTTGGCTTCACATCGCATCGGGTCATCCCTGATCACTTTGACATTCACAACGGGCTTTGGGACGAGATCTGCAAGAGGCAGCAGGATGTCACAGCCTCCCTGTTCCCCCGTGGGGTGCTGGGACAACCCTCCTGTCCTCTCAGCTCACCGTACACCGTCAGGAGGATGGTTTCAATGTGCTCCTTGCCTGCCTCATCCTCCAGGTAGACCTGGTATGTGCTGCTGTCGTTTTTCTGCAGGGAGCTGATTTTTAGGGTGTTGTTGGGGAAGAGCTCGAGGCGGCCCTTGTAGGTGCTGTTGGGGTACTGGACCTTCGCGCTGCTGTCCCGGCTGGCGATCTTCAGAGAGCTGTTGCGTCGCCAGTGGATTTGGGGGTAGGTCTGGTTTTGCAGTCTGGGGCTGAGATACGCCACCCCATGAACAGCCCCGACCACCTGCGCTGGATCATGTTGTGCCCAGGCTGCAGAGAAAGCAGGGACCAGAGCTGCTTGGCCAGCCGGACATAGCCCACCCGTCCCTGGCACTCATCCCTGCTTGGGGACCCAGATCCCTCCTCGACACGTGGAAAATGCAAATAACCCACTTGCTCACTCATTCCTAACGCCTTTGCCCTTTCTCAGCCTTGGAGGCGTGTTGCAGACACGAGCGCCTGCAGCCGGTTGGGTTTTCCACTTCCCCACCCCGAGCGTGTTACTGGCCAGAGATACCCTGGTGAAGTATTTTTTCTTTTCCCCTTTGCTTTCGTTTTTGGTGTCCTCTCCCCCCTCCAAGCTCACCTGGAGCAGCCCCTCAGCCCCAGCCTGGTGGTGGCGATGCCGGGGACTCCCATGGGAAGGGAGCTGGTGGGTTGCACCTCGGGCTTCGTGCCAGGATGGGAAAAGCCAGAGAAGAGGGAGGACAGGGAAGATTTACCCGTGGGCACATCCCCAAGGTTCCCCACTGCCCCCAAAAGCCGCCTTCCCCCCCAGCCCGGCACCCTCACCCCGGGGGAACCGCTGCCGTACCTTGCACGATGAAGAGAAGCACCATTACAAGTCCCACCGCCATCTTCCCTCTGCATCTACACCCAAATCCCAGGGTGGAAATCCACTTCACCAGGCAGCTGTTCACAAAGGACATCCCCCCCCCAGCCTGCAGCCCCCTATGACTGTCTCTAAACCCAGGGCTGGAGGGTCTCTGCAGGAAAGGGGCTGGTGGGGTTGGCCGCGCAGCTGGGAGACGGCACGAACCCACCAACGTTCTTCCGCTTCCTCTCAAGATCAAGTCACACGCCCTGAGGCTTTGCTGGGGGTTCAACGTCACCCACAGGCAGCCATCGAGAACAGGCAGCAGCCCTGAGCCTTCCGGGGGAAACCACGCATGGCACCCCACAGGATCCCGACCTCCCCATCAGAGTCGCCCCACCATCCTGATGGCAAATGAAACACAGACCCCAGGGGTCGCATCCCCCCTTTACAGCTGCTGTAATCAACCCACAGGGTTCCCATTTCTCCACCTCTAAACCCAGGTCTATGCCCTCACCAGGGTCTGGCCCCTGGATGTTGAATCAGAGAAAACTCAATAACAACTCAGTGTTATTAAGTGTTGTTCCTTATTGCGGCGCCGGGCAGCACGGCGGATGGCTCCTTCCATACGTGCGCGTGCAAGTGTTAGGGTTCTTGCCTTATATTTACAGCTTTTATACCTATTTATTACATTTCTAAGAAAAGGTCAGGTTATTCTAATCATTTCCAGGAATTCATTAACATAAGTCCCTCCCATAGTCCCATCTCAGTCTGCCCAAGTCACACCTCCATCAGGGGTCCTTGGTGGTCATTGGGGATGAAGATCTGAGTCTTCCTCAGGGTTGAACTTTTGAACTCGCCCTGTGGCGCATGCCCTGCACCATCCTGGGTCTTTTCCAATCCACAGAACCAGCTCTTGCTCGCTGCCCTCCCTCTCTCTCCTGCTCAGTCCTTTGTGTTCCTTGAGCCCCACAGTCTGACTGAAGGATTCCACCCGCTGACCTTCACTTGGCTAACTTGGCTTCCTTCTTATCTCTGAAGACTAGTTAGTCAGCAATGGACACATTCATACTCATACGTCGTTACAAACCGGCCTTATTCTTCATTACAGCGTGCCATCGAGCAGCCCCAGCTCGAGCAGGGACCACCAGCACCAGCGCTCAGGGTGTCCCCGTGACCCCAGTTCGCAGGTGGGAAGCAGGCGGGAGGGATGACTTGCTGATGCTAAAGCACGTGCTGCAGCCCCAGCGCGCCGGCCTCCGACTAGGGCAGATGCTTCAAACGAAGGATTTTAATTGCGGCCTGGATTCCTCCCTGAAAGGCGCCGTTTCAGGGCCTTTGTTCGGCACCGGCCCAGGGATGCGCGGGGCAGCGAAGCCCCC